GAACTAGACTTTCTTGACAGAGAAATGAGAGAAAAAGAAATGGTATTGAGAAAATTATTTTCATTTGATAGAACGAATCCTCTTCTCGATGATCCGCACTTGTCACTCATTTCTGTGTTTGAAAATATTCATCTATTTTTCCCTATTGAAGTTCCTCCACGCGAAAATTAACCTAATGGTGTGCCTGCTGGTTTTGTGACAGACATGGACTGGAGCAATGTATTTGTTGCAGGTGGCAGTTTTTTGTTGTGCTCAAGAGCAAACGCAAGTATTCGTTCTGAAGAAGGTGCATCGAGATACTTGCATTCGTGTCTCAAATATGACATTGACTTGTTTTTATATGCATTAACTCAAGAAGATGCAGAGAACAAGATTCGTCATATTTATTCCATCATCAAGAAAAACGTTAAGGGTAAAAATATTCTAGTGACGAGAACAAAGTTCGCCATTACCTTTTCTGTTCGTGACTATCCTCAAGTGCAAGTGGTGACTCGAATTTACAAAAGTCCAGCCGAAACATTGATTGGTTTCGATATTGATTCGTGTTGTATTGGATATGATGGCAACAAAGTGTGGGCTCTACCACGATTTGCACGTGCTCTTTCTAAAAGGTACAATCTCGTTGATGTGGAACGCATGTCCACCACCTATGAAAGAAGATTAAGAAAATATGCAGCTCGTGGCTTTAGTGTCCTTGTTCCTGGCTACAAGAAGAGTCTTGTGAAGAGACCTGGTTTGCTTGGAAATTATGGTCACTGTCATGAAAAAGAATTGAGTGGATTGGCCTTACTGTTGTATTATGAAAGTGGACCAAGTCGTAATTATGGGCATCAACCAGCACTGTCGAGCGATGAAGATGAATTACTCAATGAGAATCATGAGGATGAAACTGCAAAATCAGATTATGGCGACTTTTTGTGTTATCAAATGTTGATGGGTTTTAATTTCCCTCATATGATCCGCATGTATGAGAAATATTTGAAGCGACGCAAAACGAGATTTGTGGCATCTCTGAATGATGTAGAAAAAATCATTAATTCCACCTTGTTGCCAAATCATGACATTACTCTCCTCGCATTCATTGGATTACTGAACAACCTGGGTCGCAATTAATCGGTTCTTTTCATCCCGTATTCAGTAACTTTTATGTATGTGCCTACGATCCCACTTGGAGAAAGTCAAAAGACAATGTTGTTGTTGACAACTCAAAATAATGGATGTGTTCAACAAAGATAAAGAATCTTATCATCATAATTAATTGATGGCGTTCCTCAATAAATAATTTTGGCTTATTTTGAACTTGCTTTCTTGCAATCAACTTTGTGAGTTTTCCAATGAGATACTTGACATTCCTTCGAGCAATATACAACGCTGTGACAACCTCCACATCGCTTTGTGGCGTTTGGTTTGCCACATGCTGCACAACATTTCACATTGGATGCTTGTTTTTGCGGTTGTGGTGGAGCATTGGCCGAAAGTGTGCTGGGCAGTGGAGTTGTTTCTGGTGTGGATGTTGCTTGCTCTTGTTGCGAAGAACTAGTGTCACTTGGGGTCGTCTTGGCTTCGGTTGTAGTGATGTCCTTCTTTTCTTTTTCAACAGTCTTCAAATATTGTTCCTTCTCTTTTTGCAAATGTTCCATTCGAAGTTTGTCCATTTCTTCGAAATTCGTTGGCTCTGCTTTTGTTAAACTTTTTGCACTAATTTGATCCCAAACGCTCGACACAAAAGTGAGTAATTTCATTTGTGACATGCTCACCAACAATGTTCCAGCTGGTTCTCCCATTTCTGGATGAGCATTGATTTTTGGAATCACCTTTGTGAAATAAGTTTGAATGCTTGGAGGCTTTTTACCTTTTGATTTTCTACGAACGAGCCATCTCGCAAGCATACTCGATAATTCTGTAAATACTTCATTTCTAGGAACGAGACGAGCTGGTAAACGACTTCTCGAATTTTCTAGAATGGTACTGATCGCATGTTCCAATCCATATTTTTTGAACAGAGCTACAACCATTCCATCGAGTAGCATTTCTTGACCATTGTAATAATATGTTCGTTCCACAAAAGCTCTCACAAATGGTAAATCAATGGCTTTCAATTTGTTTTGACGCCATTGTTGAATTTTAGAGTACATGTCATTGGCAATAGAGTGAGCTCCATAAAGTTTCAAATAATAAGCCGAGTAAGTGAAAATATTGGTGAGGAATTTCTTGGCTTCATCCACATGATCAATTACTTCACACATGCAAGCAATCCAATCCATGACTCCATTCTTTGGTATTGGAACCATATCGTGAATATTTGATATTTCAGTATGTACTGTTTCGAAGGGTGGCATAAATCCAAATTCAAGTTGATCACCAACAGCAAAATAAAAGTTGTGGAAGAAGGGAGTACATAACATTTCTCTGTAAAATTTGAAATTGTATGTGTTTTCAGTGTTGTTGTTGCTTGAAAGATCTGAAAGATATTTTTGCAATACATCTTGCAGACAAGTAGTGTTACTCATTGGAGATCCAAGATTTGGACGATTGAATTGTTTTTTCCAATCTTCCAAAATGGATGACTCTTCATGATTCAACATTCTAATTTTCTTTGTCTCTGCAATGCAAGCACCAAAAATATCAAGTGCAATAGAGTCAGGAATGAAGGATAATGAAGTATAAGGTTGATCTGGATATTTGGTCTTGTAAGGTCGAGGTGCAGTGGTACCTCTGAAATAATTTTTGAGGAAATTTTCACAATGGTTGGCAGAATCAAATGCTCCACAAAGAGTATCACGTACGACTTGGGTGTAGGCATTGAACAGGATACCAGTGACCTTAAATTCTTGCTGAACTCGATCCACTCGACACAAACGGAAAATTCCATAGCCGTCACAAACGGTTGCAACAAATTTTCCAGTCAATGATTTGACAAAACCATTCTTCTTGACTGAGGTAAAGAGATCTTCTTTGATAGACAAATATGGGCATAGGCAGTGTTGCAATTTTTGATTGCCTACTCTATTGCTTGTGGTACGCTCAACCAGAGATCCAAGTGATCAGCAACATATTGCACCTGTGATACAACAGAAGGACTATTTGCAGTAAAAGTTAATGTTTTTGAAATTCGAGCCTTTTTGATGTGGAGAGTTTGACAATTTTTCAAAATGTGAATATCAATAAGAAAAATTTCAATGAATGCTCAATGAAACATCACTCATACTACTCACCTTAGCGAGTTTTCTAATACCGAGCAAGTACTAGTAGACCAATGGTGCATTGTTAGAGGCGGCAAACATGGGTCCATACATGTGTGCAAGTTGATCGTTATGGTAAGTTTCGGCATACTTGATTATGTCCTCACCGGAATAGTGATTTGGAGTTCTACGCTCTAGAACAAAATCACACAATGCAAAGCTCCACAACAATACTTTAGAAGAACTCAATTCCAATAGTTCCTTCTTTTTCTTCATAAATTGATAGGCTTCTCTCCACTTTCCAAGTCTCATTAAGCTAAGCAACATGATTTGTGACAAAAAGTGACACAACATTAATTCATTCAAATTTGTTGTCACCACCTGTACTTACCACTCGGGAATATGCATTTGGAAGTTAATATATGTCACCATCGAGGAATGAATCTCTGGATCAATCTTCTCTGCTTTGTAATAGCTTCTTCATACCGTCCCATTTTTCTCAATGTGTTTGCTTCTCCAATAATAGCACGCATGTATTGTCTCAAGTCATGCTGTGTCCATTGCCGACTTTTTCCACTTGCAGTGGATGAGATAAATTGTTTGCTATAGTACTCGGAAAATTTCGATTGACCTTCACGATAAAAAGCAAGAGCTTCCTCGAAATTCTTCGCCTTGTACATGGCCAACACATTATATGCTTCAATACAATTCGGAGACAACTTTAAACATTCATCAGCAGCCTTTAAAATGGAATCAAGAGCTTTTGTGTTCAATGCAAGTGGATCGTCTGCACTAATGGAGAGATCGGCACTGTCCTGAAAATAAATTTCGTGCGCCTTCTTGGAAGCTGTGAAATCTTGTTTCGTCTTGTAAGCCGAAGATTGGAAGGCTGTATCATGGGCAGGACTTCCAGCAAAATCCATCGATGATTCTCGGAGTGTTCGATGCAAAAACTTGACATCCTCTTCGGATGGATTTGTGTAATAAGCTTTTAACAAGAGTAAATTACGCTCCGTTTCGGGAAGGGTACTACTCGAATCCAACTCATGTTTCTCATAAACATTGCAAGTTTTCAGTACTTTGAGTGTGGAAGCAATCTGATCATTGGAAATTTTAGCTCCACCAAAATTATTGTTCGATGATGAGGAAGATGAAGAGGATGCTGTACTAGATCCTCCCGAAGAAGATGAAGAAATCACATCTCCGGAAGATGATGGCCGACTCGAATTGAACACTCTTGTATTCAAAAACTGATCATACGTTTCAAACAAGAGCGGTTGAGAAGGGTTGTTGCAATTCGCAATCATGGAGCCAAAAGGCTTCCAAAGTTGAACATTTTTTTTATTAGAGAGCTTAAAATCGTTGAAAGAAATAAAATGAAATGAAATCGAAAATCTGAAGATGTTCGGAAAGCAAAATTAAAAAAAAATACACCATGCATTCCGCTTCCGATTCAGCAAGTCTGCTCTCCCAAATCACTCAATCATCAAGTCAGAGCTCCACAAAACAACACACAAATGAGCCAATGATTCCAATTCACTCGTTAGAATCATCTTCTAATGACAAAAAAGAGAAAAGCAACATTCAAACTGAATTAATAGATTATGATTACTCCGAAGAAAATAGTTGTGTCAGGATTCAAAACATCTATTAATTTTATCAAGAGAGCCTATTAGAACCAGGACTCCATGTAATAGCATCATCCTGAGCGATCCAGTGTCGTCTGTGATCCTGAGATAATGGGGTGACAAAAGCTCCTTGAGTGACTAATTTGTTCGACCTAATTTCAATCGAAACAAAATCGTAGACTCATTTTGTTACATATAAGCTCTCTATTATTCAAAATAATTATTTTTCGATGCTTTTCTCGAACTGTCTAAAAGAGGTCAAATTCCAAAGGTTTTAAAAATTGATCGACCAGATGTTCTGAAAAGTTTCTGCTCTTGAGCGGTGTGGTTCGAAATCATCAAAGCACACACAGATTAATCTAGAAGGTGGACACAATTTGAATCATCTCTTCCACATCTATTCGATAAAGTATTTCATCCTCTCGTTCAACACTGCTTGTGACAACATTCGCATTATACTCCAATCCCAATGCTCTCGCCACACAATAATTTTCATGATTCAGTGTTTCTCTTGATCCAATCTCGAGAATATTAACGGCATGTGGTGGTGGTGATTGAGAAGCGGAAGAGGACGATGATGACGATTTCATAAATAGCAAATAATGAGAAAGTGGAAAATCAAAGAGTGAAATCACACCATGTGCATGATGAAATAATCTTCCGAGTTCAATAAAAGAAAGATTGAATTGCTGCTGTTGTGGTTGTACATCACCGTGGTGTATGGAAGAGAACAAGGTGAGATTCATCGTGTCATTCCTTAAAGATGGAATTTTCAAATGCACCAATTGTAATCCTTTGGAATTGCAAAATTCGAGTAAAGTTGAGAAAAATTCCTTTCGATTGGAAAAGTTGTGAATTTTGGATGAATCTAAATGATAACCTGTAGTTGAATCATCATCAACATTAATGATACTACTCTCCTTCTCCACGACAAGAATATAAGATTTTTGTGATGAAAATAGAACATGCTCCATCATGGTGGATGGTTTGTGCATTTGTGAGATCTCCTCAGTACTAATCTCTGTTTCTTTCAATTTAGATGATGTTGCCTTCTCTGTTTTTGTTGTTGCAGCATTGTGAGGTTGTTGCCTTGTCTGATGATCCTTTCTCAATGATGTCCATTGTTGAAGTGCCTTATTCATCACATTGGAAGCCACTCGTAAGGCAATATCGGGTGTTCGTGGCACAACTGAAACATCTTTCGAATATAAAAAGTACAATCTCTGAGCCATGTGAAAAGTAGGAACACCAGACGTTGAGACGAAAAGAAATTGTCTCACTGGTGAAATCATTCCAAATTGTTGCATGAGATCAATTTTTTCAATTCCAATCCCTTCATGAAGAATGATGGGTATTTCGAGTGGAAGAAAAGAATCCAAAAGTAATAAACGTGGCACAATTTCAATAAAGAAATTATCAGGCTGTGATGGCGATGAGGAAATTTGGATGGGTCCAATGCTTGCTAATTGTGCATGATATTCAATATTGTAATTTCTGAATTTGGAATCTTGTGTGGAAACTGTGCGTGTGGTTGAAATTGGATCTTGAGCAAATAAATTTCCGTCACTGTCAAAAATTGCAAAGACTTTCGATGGATCATGCAGTCCATAATCGAGAATTCCATTTTCAATTGAAACAATGGCTAAATCCACATTAGGTTTGTAGCAGAGTCCCTTGTAAAAATGTGAACTTTGCGATTTTGGAATGTTTGCTTCACACATAACGCATAAATTATGAGTGTTAGAAAGATTTGAGGCATTGTGAGTGTTACTGTGTAATTTTGTCATGTCCTCATGAGCATCCGTTCCACAAAAATTGTTCTTGCAATATCGTTCTCGGCTCTTTTCTGTCACTCGAGGGTATTCCAAAAAGTCATCTCTATATTTCACATCATTAAATTTCACATGAACTTTGAGAGAAGCACGCTTCGTGGTCACATGATATCGGAATGAGCCGTCGTTCTCATGTGTGCGGTCAATTTCATACAACAATTGATTAGCTCTCCAATCAACAAACTTGGAATTTGCAATTCTTCGCTTGAGAGAAAGACCAAAAAATTGTGATTTGAGTTGTGAGTTCGACATTCTACTGTAAATGGATTTTTCTCGAATTAGAATTTTTCTGAAAAATGTATCTTCGAATTTCTCATCGATCGGTCGTAGAGATGGTGCAAAACCTTCGGTGGCAAATTTCAAATGCAGAGTTTTGTAAGAATCCTTCCAACTTGTCAATGCAGAAGAATTCACAATATAAAAAGGATTTAGGTCGTGTGACAATAAAATATGATTTGTAAAATATTGCTTTTCAATTATGTCATTAGAGTCAAGAAATGGATAATCTAGATTTTCCCAAGAATCATGAGATTCTTGATTAGATTGTGAGCTTGTATCATGTTGTTGTTTCTTGAAAGGGAGCTTCTTTGGATCGCGGTCAGTGATGATATTCTCTTCGTCCTCTTTGTCAGCACTTCGATACTCATCAATAATTGCAATTCTAGAAGCAGCATGCGATTTGAATGATGTCATGTGAGGAGCAGGAGGGGCTGACACTTGTTCTTGCTGCTGTGACGACTTTTTCAATGCATTTGCAATGAGACCTCTCATTCGGAGAGTGAGATGTTCCATTTGACGATCGCTGAATGACAAATTGCTAGGTGATGGACGTATTCCAGAAGGTAATGAGATTGCATTGGAAGGCGACACTCCTGGTGATTGTTTCGTATGGGACGACGTCGTCTTAGTAGACGAAGAAGAGGAGGCTGAAGGACCTCCACGACTTCGAACATTCATTGCTTCAAGAACTACTGCCGTAAGATTGTGCCACATTCCATGTTGCATGGCTAATTTTCGTTTTTCTTCCTTAGCTTTCAATGTTTCATCCCAATAGGGTGTATTTTCAATTCGTTTTCTTTTAATTTCAGGTATTGCTGTCATTAATCCGAAAGAAATAGCCACCAAAAGAATCAATAAAATAAAGAATGCAAACCACCACACTAAAAATTTGTCTTGTGAGTTCTGTGGAGATGTCAAAAGGGAAGGAGAATTGGATTTGGAATTTTTGGAATTTTGATCAAAATTGAAAGAGAAGGTGGAGGTGGAAAAATCTTGTTGCGATTTGTCTTTGTGCATTTCTTGTGGAGGATTGGTATTATTATCAGGATGAATGGTATGGTGAGGCTTGCTTTCTGTGTCGTGAGATGGTATCTTCGGAATGTCATCATTGTAATCATGATTCGTTCCAAATACATTCAAAATTGAAAAGGAGTACGATTTTTGATGCAATTTCCGATTCAGCGAAGGCACTGAATGACTTTCACTTGTCGTGGTGGTGGTGGATGTGTGCTCGTGTTGTTGTGGTTGTGGATGATGTAAATTCAAAGATGATGCAGCTTCATCCGAAGAAGTATCAACCGATGAAGAAGAAGCACATTCTTCATGATTCTCTTCATTCAGATCTATAGAAGTGAGAGAAGAGGCTTCTTCTTCATCATCTCCACGAGAATCATCATCAAACAGCAACGATGAAGAAAAGAACAAGGAAGAACTGCTCCGACGTAAATGAATCATCCTGTTGTTGATGTTACTACTTGGATCCATTCCTCCATTTCCATGAACAGACGACAAGGAGGTGATCGCCTGCTTATTCATTCCAACAGATTCCTGTATGTCAAAGATATCTTTAAAATGTTGATCTGAAAGATATGCAAGAGGATGATTCGGCACTAGTAGATGATTTTCCTCCAGAATTCCACTCTGTTGTTGTTGTGGTAGTTGTTGAAAACGGTCATCCTCTCCAAGTTCATAATCCTTGTGAGTCGTTGGTGGTGATAGTGAATAAAACGATGAATAACAGCGACGATGTCGAGTTGACATTTTTTTTCACTTTTTTTTTGGAAGAACAAAATGAATGAACTCCTTTTGAACGAATCCAAAAAACGTTGAAAAGAACAAAGAAGGAAGAATGAGAAATTTCCATCATGTGTTGCGTTACCATCGTCATAGATAGATAGGGAGGAGTGCTCTCTCTTGAGGAAGACGTTTGTTGTTGTTGTTGGTTGGTTGCATTGGATGGAGTTTGAATCTGATTGCAGACATATGACCACCACAACGTCAATTGGTCGTCGTCGTTTGTTGAGCATGCAAAACTCTCACAAGTCATCAACGGAAAGATTTTCAAGTGAAAAGGACTTCCTCACACCTGATCATGGATTGAAATTAATGCAAGTTCACCTCTGACAAGCGAATCTCAGTGGACTAAACCGAAGACACGAATCACAGGAAAAGCAAAAAATAGACAAGTGGCGAATCATCGCTTCTGAATGGAATCGGAATCATTCCGTGTTGATTGATTCCTAGTATATATATTCTGTATCTGGATTAATTGTGGATTCAAAATTCAAACATTTAAACAACGCACGGTTTTGATATTTCATATGGAGAATTATTAATTGAATTGAATATTAATTTAAGAATCTTAGAATTAATTATATCAAACTTGAGATGGATCAAATAACCAACTATCATCTTGAAGAACATCTATCCTCTTCAAAGTGGATTTCTTTACAACGATTTCATTACTGCCAGAATGGAAAAAACAAGTCATGGGATTTGGCAATCACACCCGATTCGGTTGCTGCTTTGTTGTATCATCCCGAGAAGGAGTGTTTCTTGTTGGTAAAACAATTAAGGCCGGCGGTGTTTGTTCGGCAACTCATGGATGAGTCCATCACGATTTCATCATCCTCTGAAATTTCATCTTCATCTACCACTCCATTGGCCAATTCCACTTCCCCAATTCGGGAATCTTTAATGGAGATTGCTTCATCATCCACAGCATTCACAACCACTACGACGACGGCAACGGCAACAACCACACCTCCAAAAGCAAAATTATCTTTTGAGTTGTGTGCTGGTTTATTGGATAAACATGGCAAGTCGCCACTCGAAACAATGCAAGCTGAAATTTTGGAAGAATGTGGATATTATGTGCCACTCCGAATGATTGAACCCATAACAAGTTATTATTCGGGAGCAGCAAAAAGTTATTCCATTCAACATTTGTATTATGTCGAAATGAGACAAGTAATGCATGAAAATAGTAATGAATTATTACCATTCGATCCAGTGAATGGGAATGCTGTGAAAAAAGTCTCCAATGGAGGTGGTCTCGAGGAGGAAGGAGAGATGATCGAGGTTGTGGAATTACCTCTTTCTAAGGCCAAAGAATTTATGAGAGACGAGAGTGTTGTGAGATCGCCGAGTTTACTGCATGCGTTGTGTTGGTGGTTTTTAGAGAAAGCCACACCTGAACAACTGGAAAAGTATTATCGTTGCTGTTGATCAATAATAACAACGTCATGAGTATTACCTCTAGCACGAGTGTATAGAGGAGATACAAAAGACAATGATCCAAAGCAAGATCCAAGATTATTGAACATTGATCAAGCTCACAATTCCTTTATATTGAAATTGACATTTATTTGATTTAATTTAAAATAATTTAAATATTTAAAAAAAATGTCTAAAAACATGATCATTGGTTCAACTCATTCCTTTCTCTCTCTGAAGGGAGAATCTTTACAGACTCTCTACGAACATTACAAAATACGATGCGGCTATCATCCAGATCTGTCCAATGTCCCTCTCGTAGTTCTCAACTATGACAATGTTCTATCTCCGAAAGAGGAACCATTAGTGAGTGAGTGTCGAGGCTTAGTTCTCGAATTGGATACTTGGAAAGTGGTTGCGAGAGGAATGACTCGATTTTTCAATCAAAAGAACCAATCAAAAGAAAATAATAATCATTCACAACCACAGATCAAGTCAGCATCATTATTTTCTTCTTCTTCTTCGGATAATGTTCAATCACATTCATCATCGAAGGACAATGACAAGGATCAGACCATACCAAAAGAAGAAGAAGAAAAATTAGGAACTCTCTCTGTGACAGGATTTAATTATTCAAATTATTCATTGGAAGTGAAAGAAGATGGAACGTATATTCAATTATTTAACTATAAGGGAGAATGGATGTGTATGTTTTTTTGTAATAACTATTTTTAGGAATGACAATTATTTCGTCACCATTCATCACATCAACAATGCATTTGAACATTCCAAATGAAAAACTTTAAAGTGGCTACACGACACAATTTTTGTGAGGATTTTTGTGAAGGAACAAGTGACACAAATAGGATGACCTATCGAGATTTATTTATTTCAACATGTGGAGGTTTGGATTTGAATGATGTTTGTAAAGATTTAGACACTTCCTACACGTATTGTATCGAGCTTTGTTCACCATTCAATCAAGTCATTCAGTTTTACGATCAACCAGTTCTTTATTTATTGACTGTTGTCAATACTCAAACAGGAAGTGAGCTTTCCATCGATCAAGTGGATGCCATTTGTTTAAAATTAAGAAAACGAAAAGAGTTAAAAAATTGGAAACGTCCACGAAGATTTTCCAACTTTTCAAATCAAGAACAAGCATTTGAATTCATGAATAATTATTTGATGAATCGAACAGAACCACAAGAAGGTCAACAGAACCAAATGAGTGTGGAACAACGAATGAGAGTGGAGGGCTTTGTCATGAGAGATCAAAACAATGAGAGACTCAAACTCAAAAACCCATATTATTTAATGCTTCACAAAATGAAGTATCGAGGTTGGATTCAAGCAGAACCCAAATTGTTGGTTCCATTTGTGTTGTTTTTTGAAGATTACAAATTTCGAAGTGAGAACATGAAGGATCATGCAACGAGTAAGAATGGATGTGAATTGTTGTCATGTTCGTCGTCGAGTGGTTCCAAGATTGAGAGTCTCTCCAATCATTCTAACACGAGTTTTATCAAAATTATGAAAAATTTCTATGAATGTGATTTTGAAATGGAACAATTACAAAAACGATACCATTATTGTGTCACAGTTTTGAATAAGGAATTTAAACAATTGGTAAGCGTGTGGAAGGAAATTATTTCTGAATATGAGGATATTGATGTTGAAACGCCAAACAACATTCTTGAACAAACTCCACAATCTCTCAAAAGTCGAACGAAATTATTTCCCTTTATTGAACTCTTGTTATCATCGAGGAGTGACTGCCAATCACATGAACGAGACACCTTGTCCATTCATGCACTCGAACAAGTGATGAAAAATAATGGTGAGATGGTCCTTTCACAACTCTTCTCTTCACAGCAGCAACTATCAGCATTTCGCTCTGCAGTATTGGATTACCACAAATCGCATGCCCCTCATTATTGCATACCAAATAAGAAATTTAAAATTCTCAATACTGGACTCGCTCAGAAAAAACCTCATCTTGACAAGAAGACCAATCAATACAAAGTTCAATGCTTTTGTGGCAAACCCATGATTTTGAAAAGACTTAAAAGAGATTTTGTGCAATACCGATGGTGTCATTGTGGTGCTGCGTTTGATGTCATGACTTACAAGGTTGGAACTTTATTGTGGATGTGTTCTTCGTATCCACAGTGTCTCTTGAATCATATGGCACATCAAATGGATGAAATGTTTTCCGATGAACAGATCCAATATGTGAAAGGGCAACCATTAGGAATTCCATGCAGTGAATTGTGTAAAATTTTGAGATTGCAAATTCATGAAATTATGGCCATCTTGATGAAAAAGAATAATTGGAGAAAGAGTCAATGCTACTCATTGATGGCTTCTTGGTTAAATGTCGAAAAGAGTCAGGCACATGTGGCATTATTTTCAATTGAAACATGTTTGTTCGTCATTCAGAAATTTTTCGATAATTATTCTGGAATTTACTGAAACATTATGGCATTTACAATAAGGGTGGTGATGACAAGTGTTGATGTCAATAAATAATAATCTGCAAAGTCATTGTCCAATTAAAGGCACACTAAGGCCACACTGTGACATTTCGTCATACGATGTACAATGCATGAATGGTGTGCATTAAAATTGATGGGCATAGAAGCAGTTCTGCACGTCCTCAATTTAAACATGGAACGCACATAATCTCTATTCTTAATACAATCCATTCAATTGCGTTTTTGCTTCTGCCACTTGTTCCATCTTATCTCCACGAACAGGTTCTTCTAACCAATCTTCAAAATATTCGATTAATGAATCCACAAACGATGCAAACAAGCCTGATTCTTCTTGAGGTTGTGAGGGTTTATCCAAACGTCGAGTATGAGGTTGGCTGTTTGATGATGTTTTATGGCTCATTGTTGTTGTTTGTGGTATACCATACTGTCCGGAATGATTATCCTGATCTCCTTCTTCAAGTGTTTCAATGGTAATACTTATGGAATCATTGGAGGGACTTGTATTGATGAAGGGTGAGTGATTATTCAGATATTGTTGTTGATGATGATGATTTTGAAAGAACGGAATGAACGTCTGATGTGAAGGAGGTGTCTGAACCGTTGCGGTTGTAGTGGTTGTATGGGACAATAAACTCTCTTGAGAGGATTGTACCGAAGAAATGGATTCCGATCTCACGAGTTCGTGCTGTGAGGATGGCAACGATGTTGATTGCATTCTTTCTCTCTGTTATACTTGACAATGTATTAATAATATTACTAATAGGAATAACAACAGCACAAAATTGGTTCTTTTTTTGCTTGTTATTTGAACGTTGAGAACGAGGAATTGTGCTCAAAAAACAGAGTCTAATCGGAGGTATATTGAGGAAACGGACGAAAAGGGATTATGAATACAAGTCATCAAAAAGTGCGTCATTTAAAGTTTCTTTGGTAATACGTTCAAGAGAATCTTGGCTCTTAACGTTTCTTGTTGCTCTTTTCGTCCTAATCTTTGAGAATAGTTATTAGGCAAGATACTCGTGAACACATAACCAAAGAAACTATTTTGGATCAAGAAGAAATGTTTCTAAATACAACTTCCCATCGTATTTTTCGAATAATAGCCAAAAGATTTATTCCGACATGCCCTGAAGAGAAAAGGCAGCCAGCAATGAATTTTTTTTATTTTTTCCCGTAAAACAAAAATGAGTGCTTCGTTCGTTTGGAGGTCTCTCGCTGTAGTGGGAATGATCGCCTTGCTTCATTCCTTGCTTTCGGCAGCTCATAGTAGGTGTTGTTCAAAAATCATTTTGTTGGAAATATCTTGTTTCCGATGATGTATTTCGTACCGTTGGATATTTTAAATCGATGTTCAATATTGCAACCCAATGTTTGAATTAATCTAATTGATTGACCATATTATTATTATTATTCATCCTCCCAAACATTGAACAATAATACTTTGGAATAGTACAATCCGCTCAAGAAGGATCATTACCATTTGATATTATTGCGGAATGTTTGTTCGGAGCCTTGTTGAGCAGTTTTGCTTTTGTGAAATTGAATACTATCGTTCAATATGATAGCGATGGAATTACCGTGACTAAATCGAGTCCTCAGCCAGGATTAATAGTTGATGGATGGAAAAATATTGATGCCTCTAAAGCAATAGCTTCTTCTAAAATGTATGTTATGAAATGTGGAGCAAATTCATGATTAATTATGTTCAACAATTTTCATTGTTGAAATTATTTGCATGTCATATTGAATTTTTCATTGAAATTTTCAAAATTTAATCTAACATTCCATTTCAATACGATCATTTCTAGTACTGTGGAAAGTATTAACAATCGATCCAATTTCGCACATTTTAATCATAGAGCCAAGTTTTTATATAACGATACAGCATCCGCCAGTAATTAATTCACCATCAAATTTAGCATTTCTTTACACAACATTTCACAACATTAGATAAATATTCAATCATTTAATTTTATTTAATTTACAATTTTTGGATGAATCTTTGGATTTTGAGGAGTCTCTCTAGCGAAAAGGCAACATAATTCTTTGATGACAACACAAAAGAAACCTTTGATGACATTGAATATTGCCGGCATCCTTTCATCAATTAATGCCTTACTCTCAAAATAAGTTTTCCAGTATATTCATCAGAAAAGAGAAGACCAAAGGCTCGTGCAACATCCTCTTTCTGGTCCAAGTTGCACTCAACCACATTCTCCTCCATTCCATTCAATTTCTTTTCCTGGATCCATCTTACCAAGGTCTGTGACGCCTCCTTAAATTTGGATTTAAACTTGTCCAACACAAAACCTTCCATACGAGCACTTTTTAGAATCAAATTCACATAATTGAAAGGTCCCTCAATTTTCGATGCATTTTGTTGTGAAATGGCACCACACAACACCACACGAGCATTATGATTAATGTGTTCCAAGCAAACATCCAACATGACACCTCCCACCGTGTCAATCAACACATCAATTCCATTTGGACACTTTGCTCGAATGGCCTCACTCAATGCCTCTCGATCCATTTGATCTGACAAACGTTTATACACATCGGTCAAGTAAGAGGCAGTCGATGGTGAAGGTGGCTGCACAGCAATGGTTGAAGAGCTGGAAGGATTGGAAGCCCAAGCTGGCTCAAAACATGAACCTCCAGCACAAAATGATCCCGAGGGTGTCACATCGAATGGTATTGGTTTTTTCAAATACTGCGAATAATCAATGCATTCATCGTACTTGAAGTTCTGTTTCATGATTTGAACTTTTTTCTCTGAGGAGCAAAGACCACAAATTTTCACCTGTGGCACTTGAGACGAAGGAGTCAAAGGTGGTTTTGTGACCATCATGACAGGTGGTGGAGAAGTGGGATACATTGAAAAGATGGCAGGTGCAGAGGGATGAGGAAAGAGTCGAGAGGTTGTGTGTTGAGAAGAAGGCGATACCTTGGTCTCCTCTTTTTCATCTTCTGGTGTCGACAAGGATGATGAAGGAGACTCGTAACGATAGGGTGGTTGTTGCTGATAGTAGGAACCATACGTCGATGAAGATGGATGTGGACTCTGTGTATGATCTGCTCCAACCAATGCATTGACACACCACGATAAGGTTGGACTTTTTGCCTTACTGCATTTTCTTGGAAATGGTTGTGAAGTATCCACTTGCAAGCCACCTCTCACGTCATGAGGGGGTTTCATCCGATGGTGGTGGTGGCGACGACGACGACGATTTGGTCTTGGCAAGTGATTTTTGTGCCTTTTCTTCTTGTTCTTTTTGTAATTGCTTGACATGTTGATCCATGAGAAACGCTCGAACAATTTGTGGAATTAAGGCTCCGACACAACCCGATCCTCCGGTGACCATGACGGAATCTCCTTCAGTCACATTTGAAAGTTCAGTCACTCCGAAATAGGCACATAAACCTGCTTTGGAAAGAGTGAGAAAAGAAGCTAAGGAGGAATTCATGGTAATGTCTCGAACCAAGTTGTCATCGAGATCACAGCCTCCAGTGGCATACAAGTATTTTTGAATACCCAAATTTCCATAGACGTTTCTGGAGACGCAAGTATTTGCATTGATGGTTTTATATATATTTATATATAGCATTGAGTTTGTGGTCATGATGGGAAAATACGTGGAGCATGATTTATGGTCAAGTTTGTGTGAAATTTCCAAAAATTAAGGAAATGTTAAAAAACAAGATGTTCACTCGTGTGATAGGAATCCTAATTTGTCAAAGAACTTACCTTCCCTTTGTAAAAATTCGATTTCTCGATTCCACTATCTCTCCCACTGCATATCCTTTCAATACTCCATGATTGAGTTGACACTTTTTGTCCTCTCCTCCATGACTAAATCGACCACTTTCTGCCTCGCTTTTCGAAACATGCTGTTGTTCACGTGATGTCTGTTGTGTTGTTGAGGTTGTTGAGGTTGTTGTTGATGATTTTGATGAGTGAGAAGGACCACAAAATGGTGGAGGACAATATCGATCACACTCATGACACACCAACGTTCGAAACGATGCATCCATGGCAATATACAACACTTTAATGATAATATCACCTTCTTCGAGAGGAGGAAGAATCACCTGTTGTGTGGAGATGTTGTCGAGTACTTGATCCTTACTTTTTGGTTTTTCTTTGAGATGAATTTGTGTGGAAATGAATTTAGGTGTGTTGGTGGACATGGATTCGTGGTGGTGGTGTTGGTGGTGAAGACCAAATCTTTGATGATGACAAGTAGTTGAGGATGGTGGTGGTGGTGGCATGAGATGAGCATCTACAGCTGCTTGATGCGTCAATGGGTCTTGTTGAGGTTCATGGTGTGAGTCTTGTGGTTGTTGTTGAGGTTTAGGTTGTGTGTCTTGTGGAAGGTCATCATGCTGTTGTTGTGGTAATAATTGTTCGTGTTGTTGTTGTGTGGAGGTTGGAGAGGTGGTGAGAGGATGGCTTGATTTGTGAACATTGGTGTTAAGGTGGGGAGGAAGTTGGAGACGATTGTCTTGTTCTCTGGGGGTGGTTGATGAGGATTCTGGAGATGGCTGCTGTTCCTGTGGTTGTGTCTGTGGTTGTGTTTGTTGTTGTTGAGGAGAGGATGAAACATGACTAGTGTGTTGATTGCTTTTTCCTTCAGATGCATTTAATTGCTTTGCGGATAAAGGGTTTGAAGATGATGCTGGGTTGCTCATGGTGAAGATGAGAATTGAGTGAACTGTTTTTTGAGTGTATGTTAAGAAGGATGGTTGTTGTGACTAATTGAATACTTTTGCAGATGCATAAATGGACAAGTTCTAATTAAGGAAAACAATCATGATGAAAGGCAGTACATTGAAGCAGTACAATGATTGAATTAAGCAAAGTTTATTAGTGATAACTGTTGTGTTTAATATTTACATCAACACGAAATTTTCAAGGTCTATAGAGAGATAGAGATTTCATCAATTCATTCATTCATGAAGAGGAAAGAGAGAGAGGAATTATTACCTCAAAATGTAATTCAAAAACACTGAAAGAGATGATGATGACATTAAATGTTTTTTGTTGTTTTCATTGATCCAAAACTACACCACAACAATACTCTAATCATCTTCCGAATCATTCTTATTCAAATCCATATCTTCCAACTCTTCCACAACGTCCGAGACTTCATCATGTCCTGGAGGTCGGGGAGGGAACGTAAACGAACTAAACATGGTAGTGGCTAATGAGGCATCTTCCGTGAGGTTGGTTGGAACACCACTTCCTCTTCGCCTAGATTTGGACAAAAAGACTTCACCACTGCTCAATTCGGTAAGGGCTGATGCAGCTGTTGTGGTTTCCATTCGATTTGTTGGGTGTATTCCTGTGGATAAAACGAGTAAGGGGTGTTCCTGTAGAGAGGACGAGTAATGATTTTTGTTATCAATATATGTAATGTCCTTTTCAATTCTATTCAACGAATGAATATAATGAAAGAAAGGATTTAGAGAGAGAGAGAGAGAGAAAATGATGAGGGTTGTTGTGCGAACTAATAAGAGAGAGATGAAAACGAGATGATCCAACCGAGATGATGATCCTTTCGCCCCTGAATACAATCCAACGGCCCAATCACAGTA